TAGGGGTCCCCCAGCCCTTTCTGCAGGGAGTCCAAGAAGGCCCCCCGCAGCCGCTCCAAGTCCCGGAGCGCAGCCTCGGAGTAGCCGACCAACTCCAGGCCGCGGTAGGTACAGCGCTCCCCGCCCAAGTCGGGGCTGGAGGACGCCAGCTCCTGCAGGAAGCCCTGGAGGCGCGCGCCACCGGAGCTTCGCTGCGCTTGGAGGGAGGCCGCCGCTGCCATCACCAGCGGCTGCAGCAAGGCCAGGTGTGGGTCTTCCGGCTGCAGGACAAGGGCGAGCTTCTGCACGCAGGGCAGAGTGTCCAGCAGCAGGTGGGTGAAGGCCACGAAGGTGAACTGGCGCAGGGCGAGGGCCAGTGCCCTAGCTGTTGGTGAGGCTGGGGCAGAGGCCTCCAGTGTGGGCACCAGGCAAGGCCAGGCCTCAGCCACCGCTTCCACCACAGGCAGCAAAGAGGCCCAGGGCACTGGCCGTGGTCCTGCCAAGTCGATGGCTGCAAGGTCCAGTGCTGCCCGGAGCTCAGGGACCATGTGGGAACTGGGACCACTGTGGAGGCGGAATAGGGCATCCAGTACACTTTCATATTCACCTAGGTAGGCAGGGGGCTCAGGATCTGGCCGGCCAGGAAGGCAGTGCAGCTCCGTGAGCAGCGGGCAGGTGGCCCGGAGCTGCAGGCCCACGCTCCCCAGGCAGTCCCTGGGGAGGCTTGAGCTGAGCCAGGCTAGCTTGGGTGCAGACACACCGAAGGCCTGCAGGATGTCCAGGAGTTGGCCAGCAGTGTCCTCGCCCTCCTGTAGCTCCACACTGCCCAGGAAGGTGGTGGCAGGCTGGCCATCACAGGGTGACACCGACGTGGCAAACAAGGCCAGACTGTGGGACTCAGGCCAGTCTCTGGTCTTGTCCAACACCAGCCCCACATACGGGGATGCCTTCAGGCACTGGCAAGCCTCTGTGTGCAAGACACTGGCAATGGCCACCTGGGACAGCCAGAGAGAGAAAGGGAGGGCGGGCAGAGTTAGGCTTGTCCTGAGAAGGGGAGGCAGACAGTACAGGGTGATCGCAAGAGCACAGGCCTTGGGGTCAGACAGACTTGGGGACTAATCCTAGCTTTGCCACTTACAGGCTGTGTGATCTTGGGCAAGTCATTTCACCTCTCTGAGCCTCAATATCTTTAGCTCTAAAATCAGGCTCATAGGTGCCCATAATCTCCTCCAAAGGTTGTTGTGAATTATAAATACAGCTTTTTGTTTTTGTGCTTATACATGAAAAATGCTTTATGAACTGTAAAAGTTCTACAGAGTTTGGTGTGTGTGTGTATTTCTACAGCATCACCCAGTCTGCCTTATTCCTGGGGATCTCCCTCCTCTCTGCTGTCCAGGGATTAACTGATAGACATGGCCCATAATCTCCTCCAAAGGTTGTTGTGAATTATAAATACAGCTTTTTGTTTTTGTGCTTATAAATGAAAAATGCTTTATGAACTGTAAAAGTTCTACAGAGTTTGGTGTGTGTGTGTATTTCTACAGCATCACCCAGTCTGCCTTATTCCTGGGGATCTCCCTCCTCTCTGCTGTCCAGGGATTAACTGATAGTTAGGGATTCACTCCTAACTCCTAGCCAGTGACATAGGGCCCCAGCCGTGTGTTCTGTTTGTCTGTTTGCCACATCTCTCTGTAAGATGAGATCAACTCCCCCACCCGCACACCAGCCCCTAGAGCTCATACAGCTAGTAAGTACCTAGGACAGAGCTGCAACTTGCATGCCCCCAGGGCCAGGAGGGGTAATACTGAGCTCAAAGTGGGCCAGGGATAAAACAGGGAATGGGGAAGTCCTTACTTGCTCCCCAACTCCACCACTTCATGCCCTGAGAGCATGGGGACCTAGTTTTTCAGTACAAGTAACAAATCCAGATTTTCACATGTAATCTCTCCTTTTGTTAAACTTGGAAGCTAATTAAAAATTTTTAAGTGGCCCTGGCTAGTGTGGCTCAGTTGGTTGAGCGTCATCCCATGCATCAAAGGGTCATTGGTTCGATTCCTGATCAGGGCACATGCCTGGATTGCAGGCTAAATCCCCTGTAGGGGGCGTGCAGGAGGCAGCTGATCAATATTTCTCTCTTGCCCTCTCCTTTCCTCTCCATCTAAAATCAATAAAAACAGCCCTGGCCTGTTGCTCAGTGGTTAGAGCATTGGCCCTTGGACGGAAGGGTCTCTGGTTTGGTTCCCAGTCAAGGGCACATACCTTGGTTGAGTAGAGGCATGAGCAGGAGGCAACCAATCAATGTGTCTCTTTCACTTAGGTGTTTCTCTCTTTCTCTCCCCCTCACCCCTTCCTTCCACTCTCTCTAAAATCAATGGGAAAAATAGTTGGTTCGATTCCTGATCAGGGCACATGCCTGGATTGCAGACTTAATCCCCTGTAGGGGGCGTGCAGGAGGCAGCTGATCGATATTTCTCTCTTGCCCTCTCCCTTATTCTCTATCTAAAATCAATAAAAACAACCCTGCCGGTCGCTCAGTGGTTAGAGCATTGGCCCTTGGACGGAGGGTCTCTGGTTTGGTTCCCAGTCAAGGGCATATACCTTGGTTGAGTAGAGGTATGAGCAGGAGGCAACCAATCAATGTGTCTCTTTCACTTAGGTTTTTCCCTCTTTCTCTCTCTCCCCCTCACCCCTTCCTTCCACTCTCTCTAAAATCAATGGGAAAAATAGTTTCGGGATTAAAAAAATAACAAAAATACTGTAAAAAACAACAAAACACTTCTGTGGGCCAATGAAGCCCTCAGGGCCACCAGTTTGCTATCTCTGGCCTAGGTAGTGAGGGGAGTGCCCCTGGGCCCCTGAGGACAGGGCCTGGTCTGGCTGCTCCACTGCTGTGTTCTCAGCAGCCGGCCCAAGGCCAGACACACAGTCGCTCTCAGTGACGGTTCTGACAGTGAAGGTATGAATGAAGTGCTCTGGCCGAGGCCCAGGGGCCTGGCATGCTGGCGCTGTGCCAGATGGCTCAATGTCCTCCCTCCCCAAGCCCTCCCCCATACCTCTGGCTGCCACCCACCTGCATGTCCCTCACCCTCCTGGGACTGTAGTAATCACCACGCTCCGTGCCCAGCAGCGCCTGGCACAAGTTGAACCTTTGTAGCTCGAGTAGGGCAGAGCAGCGGTCGTCGGGCACGTCCTCCTTGGCCATGCAGTACACCGTGGTCAACACAGCCACTTTGGCAGGGTCCACCTCCACCTTGATGCCCCTGGAGGTAGGGGTGGTCGCCAGGCCTGGGGAGGCCCCTCCTCCCTCAGCCTGGCCCTCAAAAGTAGGCTGGCCTCGGTTCATGGCCAGAGCCTGGCGGTGAGCCCCCGAGGTCACATGGCGCAGCAAGGCATGGCGCTGGAAGTTGTCGGTGCCCACGGTGAAGGCGTTTTCAGCTTTGCCGTGCTTGTTCCGTACCAGGGCCTGGCGGCACTCAAGGCAAAACATCAGCTTCCGCTCATAGTCAAAGTCCAGCCAGGTAAACTCCTCTTTCCAGTGCTCGTTGAAGTAACGCTTGCACTTCTTATTGGAGTTGGAGGCCTCTCCAGCTGGTTTCTTCCCCGGGGGCACCATTCCTGCTCGAGGGGCAGGGCACCCCAGTTCCCACCCAAATGCTCTAACTCCCAGCCTCCCACACACAGAGTCACGTCCCTTGATAAGGGGAGTTGGTGGGGAGGCAGGAGAAGGGCGCCCGCCTGGCTATTGGGGACCATCCATCTAACTTAGCCAGGAAAGTTTATTCCTGCTCCGCTGGTGGGAGACTGGAGATGAAAGAGACAAGGGAGGTGTGTTAGGGAGTCCACCAAGGATCACACTGCCCACAGAGCACGCCCCAGCTGAGGGGTGGCCTGAACCCAATGGGGAAGGACTACTGGGAGTGGGCGGGGTCATGCAAAGGGCCATAGAGTATTATCCAAAGGGAGGTATGAGAGGTATGGGTGCCCAGCCCCGCCTTCCAGGACAAGGCATTGTTTAGTGTTGAGAGCTGAAGCATGCCAGAACTCGGAGCTGGAAAGACCAGCACCACCTATACAACCACTTTTTATGGGTGGAGGGACTGAGTCCTGGAGACAGAGTGGTTCTCGGACTCATGAATAATTTGTGGCTGAGCCAGAACAAAAACTTAGGCCTCCTGATTAAAGGATGACTGATCCCGCCAGACCACAGTCCTTTATCTCATTAGAAGGAAGTTAGCACAAAGCTGAGCTCCCGGGGCCACTGGATTTTCTCTGGAGATCCCTTTCCTACACACACACACACACACACACACACTACACTTCCCCCCATCAGCCTCTCCTTGGCCTGTGTTGTCATCTCCACCTCCTCTTCCCAACCTCAACCTGTCCAGAGAGTTCAGAACCATCTCTGCTGGCCATTCTGAAATATACAACCCCGGTCTGGGCCACTCCTCTGGGCACCACACCTCTCCATCCAACCACCTTCCTGGTTTGTCAAATGGAACTTTCACTCTGTCCTTACAAAATATGTTCCTCTCCCCGTTGTCCCCAGTCCAGGATGTGGCCCATCCTCCCACCCAGGTACTCTGGCCAGAAACATGCCCCCCTAAGCCCCACTTTCTTCCTCATCCGGGACCTGGTCTATCCACAGGGCCTGTTGATTCCATCTCCACAAACTACCTCTAACTCATCCCTTCTCTCCAGGCCTCTACCACCTTCCTCATCTGGGCTACCTTCATCTCTTGCCTGGACTATGCCAGTTGCTTCCTGATGGTCCTTTGACTTCCTGCTCTTACTCATGTCTGAGCCATCCAAACCCTAGCAGCCGGAGGGGGCTCTTAAAAACACTGCTTTTAAACCCCTCCACTACAGCCTGTTGCTCTGGGTCAGTGCCAGAATCCCTTTCCAGGTCTGCCAAATAAATGCTGGCAGCTGCTTGTCCTTCCCTCCCTTTCCAGCTATACCTGCCTTTTCTTGGTTCCTCCAGAGTGCCAGATTCCATCCTCAGGGCCTGCACACAAGCTGTGCTTTCTTCCAGAATGTCCCACCCTCCACTCCCACTCTGGTCTTAGCTTAACTGTCCCCTCTTCAGAGGAGGCTTCTGAATTGTCGGATCCTAGGAAGTCCCCTCCTTGTCTGTCACTATCCCCTGATTGTTCCCTTTATTGCACTCCCCACAGTTGACAAATATGCGTATTTCTGTGCAGGTCTATTCCTTGGTATATTCTCTCTCTCTTGGACTGAACCCCAGAGAAGGGAACAGTGCCTGGCAAAATTTGGGGAGTGAATGAGCAAGGAAGGATGAGCTCTCAGGCAGCATGAGCAGTGGAGTGGGCCCTTGGACACCTGTTGGGTGGTAAAAAAGCTGCCTCTGACATCCTTTCCTCCCAGAATCCTATGATTCAGTGGCCTTGTCCAGCCCATCACCAAAGGGTCTTAGAAAGGGGAGGAGGTGCAAGGCGAAGGTGATACCCTTCTGGAAATGTGTCCGATCCTTTCCAGGCACCTAGACACTGGCTCTCCTGCCCCATCCTGCAGAGGGGACAAAATGACTGTCAGACCTAGGAGGTTTCTGATAAAAGAGTAGGTAGGAAGGATGCATGGAAAGATGGAGATTCCGAAACTGCACTGTCTGACGCGACAGCCAACGTGGCTGTTAAAAACGAATCAGAACTAAGTGAACAAAAAATTAAATTCAGTTCCACAGTCGCACTAGCCACAGTTCAAATTCTCAACAGCCACACGTGGCTAGTGGCTATGGCATTAGCCGGCCCAGACAGAACATTTACAACATCCCAGAAAGTTCGATGGGACAGTGCCACCCAAAAAAACAAAACAAAACAAATGGACAAAAGCCTTTGCCATTCCCCCACCTCAGCCCGAGGGAAGCAGGCTGATGGGGTGCGGTCCAAGGCTGCCCCATCTCAGACCCAGGTCCCTGGCACCTCTCCTACCCTGGGCAGCAGGATGGAAGCAGGCACAACCTGCGGGCCTGGGGCCATGGTGTGCAGGTCTGCCACCCCCACTCCACCCGGCACATAAGCCTCAAACAGGGTTTATTCAGCCCCAGGATGGTGGTCCCAAACCTCTTCCTCAGGCTCCTTTTAGGACCCCACTAAGAGTCCAAGGTCCAGGAGAGGAGAGGTGGGGACCCCTCCCCTGGCAGCCCGAGTGAGGCTAGGGCTCCCTGCATGCCCGGCCTGTCTCCCTGGGGTGGGGACCCTGAGGGCTGGGGAACTTCTGGGGGGCACGTGGGGGAGGAGCCCTCGGATGGGTCATCCGAGGCACCGATCCCCCACTGGCCGGGCCCTTGTTGCCCGCCCCCTGCAGGGCAGCTCCGGAGGAGACGCCCTGCCCGCTGGCCCCCGCCCCCACCCCGCCTGCACACACTCACGGAGCAGCGGGAGCCACCATCTTGCCGGTGGACGCTCTGGCCGCGGTCTCCTTGGGCTGCACCAAGCGACAGCAGCCACTAGCGGTAACCACGGCGAAGAGGCGCCAGCAGCCAGCGCAGGGCCGGGGGCGCAGGCTGGGTTGTAGCGACCCCCCACACACACACACAACCCCGGGCTCATCTGGCCACGCCCACCTGCCCCGCGCTCGGTCCCCTGGACGCACGTCGCCCGGGGTCACCCTCATCCATCCCAGCTGCGCCGGTGCAGCCGGAGCTACTGAGGTTAGACCACAGGAAGGATGCTCGGGGCGGAGGCCCAGGAGTCACTCACTCCGCACAGTCACCTGTAGATTCCTAGCGGAGCTCCCAGGTGAGAGCTCAGGGACGGAGAGCCAAACCAGGTGGAGCGCCCTGCATGGAGGCTACAGTCTGGCAGGTGCTCGGAGAGTTATGAGCCAGATGCCTCGGGATCACAGAGGAGCAGGCAGGAAGCCCACGATTTTCCCGAGGGTCAGTCCGTTTTCACAGCAGGGTTGGGGAAATGTAGCAGGGAAGGGCATTCCAGGCAGTGGGACTGGCAGAGCTCCGGAAGTTAAAGGTGCAGTGCAGTTCACAAAGGTCAACGTGGAGAGGCGGTATGGGGGATGGGATGGGTGGGGCTGGGGGGCAGTGCCTGCTGCTGGAAGGCCCTGCAGTGAACGCTGGGGGTTCTGATCCTCCGGCCAGGTGGGGACCTCAGGAGGCGTTTGAGCTGGGAGCTGAATGCCTTCACTAATGAGTTATTGGTAGTGATTTGTAATGGGGGTGACAGACATGGTGTGTCAGGAGAGGAAGGAGTGATCTCTTCCTGGAACTCTCAGATGCACAGGAGGCCCACCCCTGTGGGGGTTCCCTGGAGCGGGGAAGAGAGGCTGTGGGTTCCCTGCAGGAGGAATGTGGGCGTGTGGCACCCCAGCCCTCCCAGACTTGGAGTCTGGAGGCCTGCAGTGGAGCTCTGCTGACAGTGACGTGGTCTTGGGCTGGGCACTTGGCCAAGAGCCTCTGTTTCCTCATCCATCAAGTGGGAATTGCAGCCAGGCGAGGAGGAAAGGGCAGGGCAGGAGCAGGACGGGTCTGAGGACCAAATGAGTTGCTGGGTGTGGAGGTCATTTGAAGAGGGGGTGCCAGGGCACTTGGTGACTCAGTCTCCCCTCAGTACAACGTCACCCCGAAATGCCTTTCAGCCCCTCACAGTTGGGTCCACTGCTCCCCCACACAAGGCCTAGGGCACAAGTAGATTTGAGGTCAGGGCCTCTCTGGGGGCCAGCACCCCTCACACAGCGCTGCTCTGTGCCACCCACGTCTGCCTGTGACATTCACTGTGAACCCTGGCCTCCAGGGCCGCTGCGATGAGGCATGAGTCATGGCCCACGCACACGCGTTGACTGCTTGGCTTGTGGGTACACTAATGAAGGGAGACAGCCCAGCCCCCACACCTGCCCCAGGATGGCACCGCCCAGCCGGACAGGTCTAAAATTCTGCACCCACAAAAGGGTCAGGTGTGGAGGGTCTTCTCTGATGGCATTTGGCAGCAGAACAGCCGCTTGGCTACGCGTCTCAGAGCATCGCTCCAGGGGTCATATCTGCGACCCACTCACTGGCTGGCTCCTCACGAGGGCAGGTTCTTTCTCTGGTCAAACATGAACAAATCAGACTGTGTGGCAGAGAACAGCTCACCCCCAGGGTCCAACTGAGGCTGGGGCGGGAAAGAAGAGCGGAGGGCTCATGAAATAACGTCACCCTGGCTGCCACCCGAGGGAGAGGCTCCGGGGAACCACATTCTGCTGTTTTGCCATCACGGGAAAGACACACAAGAGCACGGGGACATACCGCATGAGGTCCACAGGCCCACACGCAGATGGCTACAGGCACACGCATCTCCCCAGGATGACACTGTCTGCGCACACGGATGCATCACATACGGAGGTGGTACCCACGCAGAGACAGATGCCCATGCTGGCCAGAGGCCACGCGTGAGCGTGCACGTACACACAGACAGGCAAGATCAACAAAGATGCGCTCAGATCACATATACCCAGAGGGACAGACACGCGAGGGACAGACCCTAGAAAGGCATATACAGACGATTCAAAACAACAGGCACGCAGCACACACACAGGCACAGAGACGCATATGCACAAAGGCCCAGATACGGACACGTTCACCCAGAGGTAGGTGTGTGCACACACCCCGCTTACAAAATGAGATGCATCTGACATACACACGAGCTCCTGTAGCCAAACCCAGGGTCTCTTTCTCCCACAGGTCATAGGGGCAGATGGTAGGGCTCCCCCCACCCCAGGCATGTACACACACACCTCAAATAGTCAAGCGGCTGTTTCTATCACAGATAAAACCAAAACTCTGCGGGGGGAAAAAAAAGGGAGTCCAGGAGGGGAGAGAGAGCCAAAGGCAGGGAATGGAAGGTTGAACCAAGACCCCCTGCTTGCCTACTCCCACCAAGTCCAGGGGGGTCCTCCCCACGTTCTCCAGGGCCCCCGATCCACTTCGGGGTGAGCCAACACTTGGGAGGTGGTGATGTTCCAGACTCCCTCCTTCCCGTGCTGGAGGAAGACCCCAAGCCCAGTCACAAGAGGGACTCTGTCCCAGCCTCCAGCCCATGGAAGGGGTTCCCAAAAGCCCCCCTTAAAAGGTAATGGCTGTCTCCCCCAAAGAGGGCCAGACAACCCCAGTGTGGAGAGGTGAGCCAGAAGACCAGGGAGAAAGGGGGCCATTGGTGTTAACCCCAGCGCAGTGGCTGGACCTCAGGTAGGAGCACCCTAGATTTCTGCCCGCCTCCCTCGGTGTCCCTCTGTCTGTCTTTCTCTGCTGCAGTAACAACCCCCTCCCCTAACACTGCTTGGAGGCTCCAGGCAGTTGAAGGTGTGATTTGATACAAGGAAGGTTTGATGCAGGCTCCTGGGCGCATGTCTGCCCCAAGTGTGGCACACTTCACTCCTGCAGGGTGGCCTGTGGCTCCCCAACGCTTCCTGCCACTCCCGCCCCCACCTTTGTTCCCAGCCAGAGTGGGGGCTCCCTTGCCCAGCCCTGGACCTAGGAAAATGTACCAAGAGTCAACTGGCCATGGGAGACTCTTAACAGACAACTTTTGGAAGCCAACAAACACAGGAAAAGGATAGGGCTGGGAGAGGGAAGGGGCCTGTCCTGGTCTCCAGGCCCCCTCCGCACCCGGCTCCTGTGCCCTCCGTACTCACCCAAGAGCATTCTCTGCTTCGGAGGAGGCACCGCTGAGCGCTGAGCGCAGAGTGAGGAGCAAATGAAACCCAGCCAGAGAGTGACAGAGGGAAGGGGGTGGGGGATGCGAGGGACAGGAGGGGAGGGCACAAGGGAGGGACTGCTGCTCCTGCCTGCAAAGCCGCGGTTACCAGGCCCTGCTCCCCCTTTGCCAGGATCAAGCTGCCTAGTCCCTGGTTTCCTCCATCCCAACCAGGGGTGGAAAGAACCGGGCACTTCCTTCCCTTAGGGCAGGGGAGGGGCCAAATGCGGAGACTATGGACAGGGGGAGAGTGTCAGGGAGCATCCACTCCCGCATCCCAGATAGCCCCGGCCTAGAGCCTCTGCAGCAAATAGCTGACCCTGCCCGCAGACACCTCCAGGCAAGGAGGTGCTGTGGCCCCTCTCGGCCTCCCACAAAGCTCTTGCTGCTAAACTTTGAAGCCCTGCCTCAGGGCCTGCTGCTTCAGGAGCCCACTTCTCCTGTCCAGTGAGCCCACCATCCCCTTAAATTTACTCCTTTGCTGAAGGGGAAACTGAGGCTAAGAGAGGTACTACCACTTCGTCCCAGTGTTGGCTGTGGCGGTGGGGGAAGGGAGCTTGCCCCTCTCAGTCCAGGACCTGGACTGTGGGACCTGCTCCCTGGGCAATGCCAGGAGGGGGTGGTGGTGGTCATCGGGTCAGCTAGAACTTCTGACACCTCTCCCCTGCCCTCACGCTTCCCTCTCCACACCACCCCCAGTCTTTTCTCTCCTCCATGTGCCCCTTTCTTCCCTCCTCTTCAGGAAAACAGACGGTGTCTCTATTCACCTGAGCACCTGGAGGCTGGCTGGGAGGGGGGTGGGTGGGTGTGGGAGAGGAGACAGCCAACCCACAGCTGGATCCCGTCTTGCATTCCAAGCCTGGGTCCCAGGGCTAGCCCCCCACCCCCTCAGCATCCTGTCTCCACCAGACAATAACCTGTAATCTCTGAAGCAGCCAGTGCCTGAGCTGCAAGGAAGGTCTGGGGAGGGGTTGGCAGCAGCAGCTTCTGAAAACAGGTTTGTTAGGAAGAGGCTCTGGGGGAAGGACCTGCTGGTGTGGGGAGAAAAAAACGAAACTCAAGCCCAGAGCTAATTAACCCACCTAGAGACACAGACGGGACCTTTGTCTCCTGCCGGGGCAGGGATCTGAGCTAAGCCCCCTGATTCTCCACCCAGATGGCTTTGCCTTTCCGGGAGGTCCCGGGGGAGGTGCTGATGGTCAGGTTCACACTTGGCAGAGGGGGATGTGATGGCCATCCAGGCAGAGCAGGGCGCTTCCATCGCCTGCCACGTAAGAACAGTAGCAGGAGGCGATGGCTAGACTGCAAGAACTCAGTGGCCTTGGGGG